CATATGTAGAAAGTGATTCACGTGCAACTAGTTTACTCATAACACATCGTTTAAAGAAAAAGAGTAAAAATGTTACATGATTTTATTATGCTTGGAATGTCGACAATTCTACAAACTACATAAACACGTATGACAATGTGTTAATCTCTCTGTTTGCCTTCCCAAAATGCTTTCAAATCAGATACCACATTTCTTTAAATACGTATTTATGTAGGCGTTTCTGTTACAGTTGGCGTACGCATATAAACATTTTCAACGACTGAACATGGGAAGGATTTTTGTATTGCTTCTGTTTGTGATATGCTTTGACGTCATCCTATCACAAGGTACCATGGATGACTTGGTGAGACTGAAGAATACTCTGTTCCAGAACTATACCAAGGACTTCCGTCCTGTTTATAACATGAGTGACCCGATACACGTGACAATCGATATGTTCCTGATCTCTATTTTAGACTTAGACGAAGTAACCGGTACAATCACCCTAAACTGTGGTCTCACATTGTTTTGGACTGATTACCGCCTTGCCTGGAACCCAAACGAATTCGGTATCACCTCTTTCGTGTTTAACTCGTCAAATGTGTGGAAACCGCGAATTTACATTACAACATCAGCTGACGATTTGTCCGATTTCTCTTACGACGCTTTCGATGTAAGGGTAAATTCTAACGGCACGGTATTTGCGTCACCAGGTCGACATGTAAAGGCTAGTTGCAGCTTCGACATGACCAGATTTCCGACTGATTCACAAACGTGTGTCATGCAAATTGCGTCATGGATATTCGCAGCTTCTGAGATGGTATTCATCATAGCACGACCACAAATCAACATGGTTTACTATAAACCTAATGGGGAGTGGGATATTGACTGGACGTCTGTCACAAACAACACTGATTTCGGATCTTACTATTCTGTTTTAGACTTTTCAATACATCTGACAAGACGTTCTGCATACTTTATTATATCCATGACTATACCAGTGCTACTCCTTTGCTTTCTCAACCCGTTCGTGTTTTTCTTGCCCACCTCCTCAGGAGAGCGGATTTCCTACACAATCACCATGTTCCTGTCGTTGGCCGTATTTATGACACTTATCGGAGAAAATATGCCAAAGGTTTCAGATCCAATGGCAGGGATTTCCTATTTCCTCTTCGTGGCTATGTTGTACAGTTGTCTGCTGATCGTGTTGACGATATTCACCCTGCGCTGTGGCGCTAAGAACGATAAACACAGGTTCCCTGGATGGTTGTTGCGGTTAGCCTCACGAAAAGCATTTCACAAATCAGTCAACAGCATCAATAAAGTAGATGACGCCAATAAAGTCAAAATTGTCCAGGTGATGGAGTATGGTAATGCACCTGAGGAGACAATTTCTCACGGAGACGAAGAACTACAAAAGACTGTGAGGAAGGAGGACATAATGCGTTTCATTGACAAAAGTCTTTTTTACATAACATTCTTAATAATGGTTGTTATTTGTGTCGTATTTAGTTTTTACTTCTGGTTTTAATTTGAAAGGCATTTCGTAATTATAATTCCAGATTTCATTTTGACGCCAAATAGATATTTGACCGGTTCGGATTTCTCCTCTTTTCTTACATCTGTAAGTGGAAGATATATTATGAAATTGACATACCAAATATTTCATGTTTTTTTTATTTTTTACTTAAATAAAGGGTTATTAATCAGTTAATTCAATATTTTATACAGAAAATGTTCTCTGTGTTTTTAAAATCCTGCATTACACTTTCTTTTAATGTAATTTAGGGTAGGAAAATCAACGACAGAAACCCTACCTCATACTCCAAACGATTCGAATACAGATACTGATCAACATGTATTTCTTGTCTAGAAGGTTGCCATGTGATACACGTAAAGTTCATTAAATTCTAGGCATATTGAGATCCGCAACTAATATCCTACGAACATGGAGAACTGCAGTTCTACATACTTCTTTACTAGGTTGATTGAATTAAACAGTTTTTATTGAAAAGAATTTAGAAAGTACAAGGCAAAGATTGTATGCAATGATTCAATTGATTAGAATGACTTCAATGAAAAAGTTCGGATTGTAGAGATGGTGTGAGTTTTATGAGATAAGGAATGCAATCTGTAGAGTTAATATAGACACTTTTTGTTGTTTTATAGAAATATAAAATACTTCTACAACGTTTGCGATAGTAAATAACAATAGATTAATGGACGACAGACCAACTATCTCCATATATGTTCCATTATCAAAACCAGGCAAGTTCTACAATATGATGTAAAATACCTAGACCAATTAAACAGGGTTCTTGTTGCTCCGAGTTGCCTTGTCACTATAAGAGTTACTCCTTCATTGTAAAATCGATGTGATACTTGTGGAGGTAGAGCGCCATAATGTTCTATGTTGTATGCCAAGCGAGATTGAGTTCCAATTTGTTCGCATTTTTCTGACCTAAATTTATTGCAATTATAACTGCCAAGGGAATGCGATTTGCTGATCTCTTGCTTGTAAAGCAGAACGTTCATCCAACGAGTTACAGGCCAAACTATATATCATGTTAATACTATTCGGCAACAATACTTTGAAGTGTTGCAAACCTGCTAACCTATCCAATGGAAGTCTTCAGTATTTTCACCAAAAAATCAGGAAAGCAGCTTTTCAATGCTTGCATCTAGTACAAACAGTAATCTATCTTTCTAAATGAATACAATCACTGATTGCAGTTTTAAATTGGCCGTTTCCATTTCCTTCGAAAATAAATCAGACGATTGTACAGGTCCGTTCTCTAGACAAGGACTACCAACCGATGGATCATCAACGTACATGTTAACATAGAGAGATGACATTAAAGCAACACATACACAATTATAGCCAATCAAACCATCACTGCGATGGCATCTATGTCAAACATATTTCTTTACACACCTAACAAAGGGTTATCGATCCTTTATAATGCCTCCATTAGCCCCTATTGATTTAGTAAAGTATAAATAAACAAACATTCTGTGGATATGGGTAGCATAATGTCACTAATCTCTTGAACAACCAACCGTGTGATAGCATAATTGTATCTTTGGGAGGTATCCGTGAAGATTCTTAATAATAATAATAATTCGAGGTTCCTTTATACCGCTGTATCACAATCTAGATAGTAGGTCGTCTCAAAGCGCTTTACAAACTAATATCCGTGGTTATAGCAACCAGCCAATATCTTTCTCAACTCCCTTGGGCGTATTTAGCCGGTTCTGCCATTTCGGCGCTCAACTCTACTATTCAACAATTCTAGCACTGCCAAACCACGTGCTCATTTACAGCTTAGTAGACTTGAACAAGCGGATACAAGTATCGTGCTCAAAGAAACAACACCGTGCTGTGCCGTGACTCGAACCCGCAACCCTTTGGTCACGAGCCCGGCGTCCTACCAATAGGCTACCGTGCCTCTAAGTGTTCTTCTGAGTGTTGAGTGAAATAGCGCTTTGGATACATCAATCGTCAATTAAGAAAGGTATGAATGGATATATATAAATTTTATTCTAAATTGAGATAGTAGTCTCTTTAGATAAAGCAAATGTATTGTTAAAATAGCAATTCTAGAAAAAATAATTACTTAAAGGTTGCTGGCTCCAGATTCGCTGAGGAAATTTTAATTAAAAACATGCAAATCTATAACACTTAACTGATATTCATTGTGTTAAATTTCAAACATTTGATTTTTCATGAAAGATATTTATAATGAAAGAAATATTCTGAGTGATATTATTATTCCGTCATCTTTCACGAGAAAATCAAGACTTGAATGGTGTTACAAATTTTGAAATAAAAACATGATTTTCCTAACCGTAGTTCAATGCATGTCATGTCTGTTTGATATCCTGTAAAATCATGTACTGTTATTGTAACTGTTACTAAACAAATGTTAAAAGGTACTTTATATTCTAATTTACAGCTGATCTACTTATACAAATTCAACAACTGAAGATGACAAGGATTCCCGTATCGCTTCTCCTGGTAATGTGCAGTGACGTCATCATATCATGTGCACATGCGCAGGGTACGATGGATGACCTGTTGAGACTGAGGGATACTCTGTTCCAGAACTACACCATGTACTTCCGGCCTGTATATAACCTTAGTGACCCAATACACGTCACATTTGATATGTACCTGATCTCTATTTTAGATCTAGACGAAGTCACCGGGACAATCACCTTAAACTGTGTCGTCAAAATATCATGGTCAGACTATCGTCTTTCCTGGAACCCAAGCAACTTTGGCGGTATCACCTCTTTCGTATTTAACGCATCCAACGTGTGGAAACCTCGAATTTACATTGCAACATCATTTGAAGATTTGCCGGATTTCTCTTACGATGCTTACGACGTAAGGGTGTACTCTAATGGTTCAGTAACATCTTCACCAAGTCGACATGTAAAGGCTAGCTGCAGTTTCGATATGACAAACTTTCCTAAAGATTCACAAACGTGTAGTTTGCAGATTGCTTCTTGGGTGTTTTCAGCTTCTGAGATGTTATTCTTAATAACACGTTCAGACATTGGTATGACTAGCTATAAACCTAACGGTGAGTGGGACATCGACTGGACATCGGTCACAGACAACACTTACGTCGTTCCTATGCTACATTTTCTATGCACCTGACAAGGCGTTCTGCATACTTCACCGTATCCCTGATTATTCCAGTGCTTCTTCTGTGTTTCCTCAACCCGTTTGTGTTCCTCTTGCCCGCCTCCTCAGGAGAGCGGATTTCCTACACAATCACCATGTTCCTGTCGTTGACTGTATATATGACGCTCATCGGAGAAAACATACCGAAGGTTTCCAATCCAATGGCGGGATTTCCTATTTCCTCCTCTTGGTGATGTTTTACAGTTGCCTGTTGATCTTATTGACGATATTCACCCTGCGCTGTGAGGCTGTGACCGATATCCGCATGTTCCCTGGGTTGTTTTTACGGATTGTGTTCCGTCTAGAATTTCACAAATCAGTCATTAATACAAACAAAGTTGACGCCGCTCATACAGTCATAAATGCTCAGGTAATGGGGAATGATAAGGCAACTGAGTGGACAATAAATAGCGGTGACGAAGAAGTAAAAAAAACTGTAAGGAAGGAAGACGTTATGCTCTTCATTGACAAAAGCCTTTTTTACCAAACATTTGTAATGATAGTTTTCATTTGTTTGGGATTTGGTGTATACTTCTGGCTTTAATTTAACTGAAATTCTTGAATAGTTTTTGTCTGTATGTACATTTGTATCCCGCCTCAGGCAAAAATCCTGTAGTCCTATTGGTTAAAACGACGTCACATGATATCCAGTATATTTTCATATTAGGTCAGTAGAATCTCACATTAGGTGAGTACGAAAGAGTTATCGTTCTTTGCCCATAAGAGTCAACTTGTAACAAGATGGCAAGAAACTTGTATCGGTTCGCCTCGCCCGATACAAGTTTCTTTTAGACCCAATATTTTTCCGTATTAGGTCACTAACAAACTGTGTAACTAATAGTATCAGTTCGTGCTTATTGTACCAAGAACAGAATTGAAATAAACAAAGATTTCTATTTCAGCGTCATCACAAAATAGCAGTCTGTAATGACAATTAACTTAAGAAACAAGGGATACTTAAACATACATTTTGTTATCAACCGGAAGTGACATCATGTGGTTCGGTAAGGATTTACATGTGACAACCTTTATGATTTTTCTTTGCTAACAAGGAATCGTTTCGTTCATAAATGATCTGAGACACTACAAATAAATAAGCATTGTCTTAAATTTAGAAGTTAGAACAACAGTTTTTATAGCAACCATATCCAATATAGATTTACGCATTTTAGGTTCGAAATTCTGACACATTATTTTACTGGCCAAAGTGACTCCAGTATCCAGGACAACTTTTGTGGGTCATGAAGTGTTGAAGCTACGTCAATACTTAAAACTTTACCTTAATGTTAGTGCTGAGGAAAGGAAAAGTGAAGACCAAAAAATTGAATTCCTTACACAACGCTTGATAAAGAGGTGACCACTTGTGTTATATTTCAAGTAACTATCAATATATTGAGGTACGAAACAATTGTTCAATAGAACTATGCAAAGTGTTCCTCAAATCTGTAATAATATAAGAAAAAGGTTGAAGGTAAAACTTCAGTTTTGAGTATGTTTTTTAAACATTGATGTTTTTAATAGTACTGAACTAGATTCAGCTTTATAATACAATTTTTTGTGTGTGTAAAGTGATGCATAGTTCTCCCTATATCGGACGGCATTATTCTATCAAAACAGATTATCACCTAAAATATGAACAATCTCATGTTCACGTGCTCTAGATACATATAATGTTCAAGATGACATTTTCTCTATCAATATAGACACTGAAGAACTATATTTGCGTTTTAGATTTCAGATATAGAAAGATGAACAAAACGTTGAAAAAGGAGGAAACATGTAGGTGGTATGTAACTCTATATCGTGGATAATTCAACATATAATAGGTAAAGAGCTAGTACATTAGTATTAATGCAATAATTGCAAAACAACTATATAAAGACCAAGTTATTTGTAATGAAGGGTAAACAGTTAACGTCCGAATCCCTACTTAATAATCAAAATTATTTGGATTAAGATATTGATCGGTGAGTATTGATTTTGTCCATAAAGAGACGATGTGGTATAAATATCTTTCAAGGAATATTGAGCAAATTTAGTAATTACATGTATTAATACATCCCCCCTCAATAATTCCAACTTTGCTATTATCATATTCAAGTCTCTAGATTATTCGGGTAGTATTTAATGACGTGAAAGCTGTCAATGACTGTAAACTTTTCATCGGGGTAGATATCTATCATTTGATAATTTAT